CTGGCCTGTGTCCTGTCCTACCGCGGTGCTCGTGCGGCTGAATGTGGCAGACGCCGCAGACGGGAAGGAGAGAGGAGACTTGGGAAACTGCTGCAGTGGAGGTAAGAAAAGACAGACAGGGGAAAGACAGCAGAGAAAGTGAGAGAAGAGACAGCAGAGAGAGAGAAGAGACAGCAGAGAGAGAGAGAAGAGACAGCAGTTAGAAACAGGCCAGAGAGCGTGAGGAGAGAGAGAAGAAAGGGTCGGTTCACACCACAAAGTCTGCGTTCCAGAGTGTTCGGCCTGTAGAACGCATTGGAACGCAGGCCGGCCGGCTCCCTGCGTTCAGGGGCGTGGCGGTGCATTGAAGTCAATGGCACCATGCCCCCCGTCCTCAGTGTAATCGCCCGCACCAGGAATGCAGGCACATTAGTGCCTGCGTTCTGGTCCAGCGCGATCTGCAAAAATGCTGCATTTTTGCAGATCTAACTGGACTGGAATGCAGGCACTATGGTGCCTGCATTCCTGGTGCGGCTATTGCACTGGGGGCATGGCTGCGGTGTCATTGACTTCAATGCACCGCCACGCCCCTGAACGCAGGTGTTTTTTCGTTGGTAGATCTCATTGAGCTCGTCATTTAAAAAGTAGATCTCAAGATGAAAAATTGTGGGCGCCCCTGATCTAGGACAACATAACTGAACTGGAAAGTGAGTTGAATTGGAGAATTTCTCCAAATCAGCTATTTTGTCCTAGAGTGTTCACTTCTCCTCTCTTCTCCTAACTCTTCACTCTATTGTGAATAACCCTGTTTGTATTGTTCTTCTTGAATTAAAACACAGCAGAGGCATGGTGACATGATTATCTCAGGAATTATTTATCTATCAAAGGCATTTCTGGGGTGACCAAATATACTTATCAAATCATCCTGACAAAAATGATTTTCAAGATGTCTCGTTCACTCAAAATCCTACCCATTTTACCAGGGCCTTGAGCAGCAGTACCATAATTTTCATGCAGGTCCTGTTGCAGGTCAATCCTGGTAGGCCCATGACTGAGATGTAATCATTCTCTGGAAACACCATTATATCTCCTTTACTATACTTGATGGGGACAGAGGAACCCCTTTAAATAGTTTAGTGGTTACCCTAACAAGTAATACTTGGTGATGTGCAGATGGTTCAATCAAGAAACAGAAGCCGCAGTCTACTCACAGTTAGCTTTTGTTTATCTGGTTTGGAAACTGGGTTTCAGTAGATCCTATTCCTACATTTTCTCCTCCATGGTGATCTAAAATACAGGAATTGGCTTCTAGTTTTGATTATGACGAGTTTCTTCCCTTCTGTGCCAATAATCTGTTTTCCCGGGTGGTTTACAGTCATACACACCAATGGAAATATGTTTTCAGATAGCTTTGGATAATCATGTTTTAAAGCTATGTGAACTCTAGCAATGAAGGGTCACTGATTAGACTCACAGGAACAGCAATCAGTCTGGTTTAATATCTTATTTCAACTGTTATGCAACTTGTAGTTTATAATTTCTGCTCAATAGTTTGTTGACATACAGTCAAGTTGTTACCCGTGTCCATTTGGTGCACATATTTTATGAGTAATTTGGAAATGTGAACAAAACAAAAGTGAATTAACAGCTCATTTAAAATAAAAACACTAAACAGTAGGACTGCTGACTATAATGTCTGTCTGCCAATACGAAGACTATTTTCATGAATAAAAGTTGACATCGCAGGTCAAGGCATTACATTTAACCCCTTCATGACTGAGCTAGTTTTCAGGTTCTGTTCATAAATGACTGACACATTTTTTACATTTTTGCTGTGCGATTCTTCCACAGCAGTAATATACTTTCTTACTAAATGTACCCACACATATTATATATTGTTTTTTAGAGGACAGATAGGGCTATATAATTATATCACATATGTGTACCTAACCCTTTTTTCACAAGTTTTGATTATTATTATTTTTTTTAGAATTTTTTTATATTAATTATAGTATAAAAAAATATATTTATATATAATTTATATTTTCCTAATTTTGTTTTACACTTTATTTTAATTTTTTTACACTTTGTAAAAAAAATAAAAATAAAATAAAAAAACTTTTTTTTTCTTGTCAGTTTATATCAAGCAATCACTATGACAGCTTGATAAATTAACTTTTTTATTTTATTTTTGGCTATTAGGCTGATCCAAACTTAGGAACAGCTAATAATAACCTTAGAGACTGATCCTGACTTTAGTCAGATTCAGATCTCACTAAAAGCTCTTTGATCGTGCCTAGACGATCAGAAATGATACATTTCACTCAAAAGATATACATTGTATCCTTTCAGTGAAATGTATCTAAACATCGGGCTCTCGAGCTGTCAAAACAAATAGCAGAGAGGTGAGGTGAGTCACTGCTGCCTCTCTGCTATTTTGAGCTGTCAAATACGGGATCGCAAATTGCGGTCCTCTATTTGCATGTAACGGCTTCATTCTTTCATTAATGAAAGGAAGAAGCTTTTACAAAAAGCTTAATTATTTCATTAATTAATGCCTCAATACTGAGACATTAATGAATGACTGTTAAATGCTGAGAATCAGCAAATACCGGCATTACAAAGCCTGATATAACTCGTCACGTACAGTGTACGTGGCCAGTCATATAGGCACAAAGTGACAAGACGTACACTGTACGTCTCCCGTCACGAAGGGGTTAAAGAGAAACACTGTATTGCAGTTAAGAAAATAATTGAATAATATATACTGTATATATACTGAATAATTTTGATATGTACTTTAAAATAGTGAAGTTCCCTGATCTGTTCCCACTCACTATCCTGATACCTTTTGCCACAGCAGGTTGTGCGGCAGGGTCCGGCACCTTTGGAGCGCAATCTTATTTGTGTATCACTCGGCTGTAGATCCTCAAATCATCTCTGAATTGGTGCTGACACTGTCCTTCCTTCTGGAGGGGGGCTACTTTTGTTCCACATTGTCCCTGTGTGTGTTGTAAAGTAGTCACTGCTCCAAGTCAGCTCCCGTGATGGACTCCAATTTCAATACAAATTAGGAAACAAAACATGGGATTGTAGCTGGAAATTAGGGATGGCAAATGCTTCGTTTTCCCGTACCTAACCAGCTTGTTATGGGTAATGTCTTCTGGAAATTCCCAAACGTTTGGAGGTCTAGAATATTACATAACCAGGTTTGGATAGTATTAATGAGGGTTATGTCATATGGTAATCAATTTCTTGCATAGATAAGAAGAGTGGTATAAATATAACCTGAAATATAAACAATTTAGCAATTTCCCTTTTGCTGCTCAAGTGCCATGTATATGTTCAATAAACTTGGATTATACTTTCACCGCACAAATGATTTGGATTCTTCTATAACAGATGGAATAGCCAATTTTTAAAGGCTGGCCTCCTTACCGCTCAGTGTTGGGCATCTGTCAGTAATAGCAAAAAGTTTTCCTGGCATACTCACCAGCCAGCATGCAAAAAAACTTGTCTCACCGCTGAGGTTAAAAACAAAGGTTTAGATACACGTCTTCTGCAGAAAATGTGAAAGCCGCACAGCCGCGCCAAGGCACCTCCATATAGTGCGGTCCTACCTCTAAAGTATGAGAGTCTCCATCTTGGAGCACATGTGGCAAAAGATCAAATTGGATGCAGGTTTGTCAGGAGGCAGCCTAACCTCCCTTAACCACTTCAAGACCAGGTGTTTAGACCCCCTTCCTGGCCAGGCCATTTTTCAGTGTTCAGCGCTGCGGTACTTTGACTGACGTTTATTCCGTCATGCAACGCTGTACTGAAATGAATTTTATACCTTTTTTTGGGGACAGATAGAGCTTTATTTTGGTGGTATTTAATCACCACTGGGGTTTTTATTTTTTACTATAATTAGGAAAAATGACAGAATTTTTTTTTTTTAAAGTTTTTTTTTACATTATGTTAGGAAACATTTATTATTACCCAGTTTTTTGGTAAAATATAAAAGATCGGGTCACGTCGGGTAAATAGACACCAAACATGTCAAGCTTTAAAATTGCGCGCACCCGCGAA